ATTATGCTCTCTCTAGCTAGTTAAATGAAAGTTGTTGAGTTCTCTTCTTTCTTCAAGGCCAAAGTAATTTTTTAAAACATTACATCCTACTGCCCTCGTGCAGTGGTTATAAAAGGTGTGCCTTCTTTCTGTCTTTGCCTGAACTCTGCTCCAACCACCCTGGTCATTATGGACTTGGGTAGAAATAAGGCTCGAAATCCACCATTGGTGAGGGTCAAGACCGTCTTCTGATTTACCGTATTTTACCAGACATGTATGTGTGCCTGTCTTCTTACCTGTTCATATATAATCTTTAGTTAACCCTTAAATCACTTTCCTTTCTTACTTTCTCTGATTCTCTCATCATGTGCCAGGGGATTCAGTGCTGGAGAGACGGGTCAGGTCCTACCTACCCTGAAGGCAGGGCAGCACAATGGAATGAAAGTGCAGAAAAATGAGTGTTGTGGCAGGTGGGACCCGAAGAGGGACGTTTCACTCCGGTGAGGGGGCATCAGGGAAGGATTCTCCAAGGCAATGTATTAGCTTCCAACTGAAAGTGAGGGGTGGGCCTGGAGAAGAAGGGACAGAGCATCAGAGCAAAGAGCATGCACCCATGTCCCGGTGTGAGGCAGGCTGCAGGGACTGTGGAGTTGCATGGGGTCTGGAGGCCATAGAGGAAAGGGAGGGGTTGGTCTCACTGCCACTTCCTCAGCTGTGCACAGTTTTCTTCCACCCCAGCTCATCCTACACCCATGAAAGTCATTGTTTCCATGACTGCATGTCTCTGCTCGAAGCCTATCAGCTCTTCTTTATTGCTTCCTGATCCTTTAATCTTCTCTTTCTCTGGCTTTCAACCCTTCCTACAATTAACCCTAGCTTTTCTGACCTCACTGCTTCTCTCTCTCTCTCTCTCTCTCTCTCTCTCTCTCTCTCACACACACACACACACACACACACACACACTCCACCACCACCACCACCACCAACAACAACAACAACACCATAGCCAAAGCATCCTCCTCACTGCCTCTTGGGTCCATCCAGCTCCTGCCCTCTGAACCCTTCTGCTCCCCAGCCTTTCAGGCTTCCCTCCTTCCCTCTTCCCAGATATTTGTCATCTGTGACATGTAACCCAAGGAACATCCGTGGCATAGTGGTTTACACATTAACCACAGGCCAGCAGTTCAAAAACGCCAGCAGCGCCAAGGGGGAACGATAAGGCTTTCTACTCCCGTAAAGATTTATAGTCTCAGAAACCCACAGAGGCAGTTCTGCCCTGTCCAGTTGGCTCGCTGTGAGTCAGGAGTGACTCAGTGGCAGTGCTTTTGAAGTTTGGAATGTAATCCAAGGCAGAATCACTCACACATTGCCTAGTTTGCTCTCTAATTGTTTCTGTGTCTTTCCTGATCAACTGTATTAAGGTCTGGCTTGGAAGTGCCATTTTAGACTGTTGCCTAGTGGAACAGAAAGAACACTGGACCTGCAGTCAGCTGCCTGCCTGCATTTGACTCGGAGCTCGACAATTTTCCAGCTGCCTGTCAGGTCTCTTCTTGGGTAATACAGGAATAATGCCTACAAGGCTGTTGTGAGAAAGTACATAAGTCTCTTTATGTGAGATTCATTTGTGGATTGCGTAAACAGTCTATCAATGGACACTCTGTTTCTTCACATTCCACAGTTCCTAAGTAGAACCACTGATCAGCGTGAGATTTTTGTCGTTCTTTCCAAGGTCTCAGGATCTTAAGGATTTGAGCCTTTTATTCACCTCCTTGTGACCTATTTCTCCGTAACCCATTTCTTGGTTATTTTTCTACTTCTCTGATTCACCAATAGTCTCAGCTCGTCCTTAAACCTACAGATGAATAACTTCAGGCAACTGAGAAACGAAGTTTTGAGATAGGAAAAGGAAGTTCCTTGCCTTGGATATTGATATAGTGGAGCGCTCTCTCAGGGTCCTCCTGGCCACACTGCACTCTGCCTACACAGGAACTCCCTGTTAGCACTCTGCACCTTCACAGAAATGCGCACAACATAGCATCGTTATCGTTTAGTGCACATTCACAGTCCCAAAGTGTGGTCTTCTCGATTCTTCAGAAAGCTTTCTTCTTTTTAATTTCCAGACCTGTCTTAGACCAAATTCTCAGATCGAGGGCTACAAGCAGGGGCACTACTGTCAAGCATTACTGTCAAGCACTACATACAGCTGACTCCCAGGGTTCCAGAGCTAGGGCTCTTGTTCACAGGAATGCAGAACCGGAGAGCAGAGAGCCAGAGGAAGCAGACACATGCCTCTGACACCCCAGTGTCTGGAAAAGCGATTGCTGTTGTTAACTGCCATGGAGTCCGTGGCGACAACCTCTTTGTGTCAGCATACAACTGCATTCCATGGAGTTTTCAGTAGTGGAGGTTTTTTGGTTTTTTGGGGGGTGAGGGTGAGCAGGGGTATGGAAGTAGATTACCAGGCCTTTCTTCTGAGGCACCTTCGGGTAGACTGGAATCTCCAGCCTTTCAATTAGCTACAGCGAGTTAAAAGATTATGTTGTTCACTTTTACCTATCACTTGTACTGATGGGGATGGAAGGAGGTGCAAACATTTTGAAGACTGTTTACCTTAATAGCTAAGAGTTTATGATGTCTGATAGCCTTTGCTTATATGTAGGAATCTTTCTGAAGCTCTAAAGAAGCTCAGCAAAATAGAGCTTAATTGAATACACATTTATATAGTAAAATAACTTGAGTATCTCCTTCCCCACTAAGGAAAACAGAAAAGAGAAACCAGCTTGTTACTGGAGACTGCGATTGAAATTAGGGGAGGCAGTAGGAAGAGAAGCCGCGCTGGCGGTAGGGTGTTTTTAAAGTGTTCAAACCAGCAGCCACTCAACAGGAGAAGGGTGTGACAGCCTGCTTTCATAAGGACGACAGTCTTGCAAACCCAACAAGGCAGTTCTACACTGCCGTGTAGGGTCACTATGCTATGAGTCAGAATTGACTCAAAGCAGCAGGCTTGGGGTTTTTTTGGCTCTTTATTTGTTTGGTAGGAAAGTAACAACATTTCAAATTCAGCATTCACAGTGTCTGAAGCAATAATTCACACTCAAGAAAAAAATTTAATAAAGTAAAACCATCTCTGCTACTCATAAGAATTGTTCTGAAATTGCCATAAATCAAGTGCATTTCATCTGGAGACCACCTTTTTTTGTACAATTACTGTGTTTTATGGTTTCTATTGTTCTTAATAGCACCCTTAGTCATCAGTGGATAGGGAAAAAAGTCTTTCTAGGACACAGAGTTCTGTAATTCTTAGAAATGGTGGGTCTTTGAAATTCCCAGTAGAATTTAGGCACATTCTTGCCACTTTAGTTTTCCATTCACTGATTACATTATTGCAAATCTTCTAAAGCAAATAATTTTCTTAAGCAAAGTGGGTAAAAAAGTATCCTGAAATGACCACCAGCTTCCTTGAGATCTCTGTTTCAGAGTAAACACAAAAACAAAGGTTGTTTAGGCTGTTATGAGCAATTTAGACCCTAGACCTGCACTAGACATTTTTAATGATGACCTTCAGACTCAATTCCAAGATTCCTTCTCTATGCCAGCATATCCATTGTGCAATTTCAGCACGGTTTTCTCATTTCTTTAGCAGCAGATTATTTGGAAAGTTTGGGGGAGTGTTATTATGGCTTAGGAGGCTTTTTAAAAGGATATCTTTTTTAAAAAAATCATTTTATTGGGGGCTCGTACACCAACATCAAGCCTCCAGTGCTCAGTCTTGGTTCTGTGCGAGGCCCTAAATTGTGGGATTTTTTTTTAATTAGTAGATTCTCTTTGGCTCTCTGCTATATGCTGCCCAGTTTTCTATGTGGCATCACCTAATATTACTTTTAAGAGGTATATTTTTTCTTTTTTTAATGGCCCAAGGGCACTAGAAGTAGAATGTTTTAATCACTCAGTCTTACCACAGTATTTGCCTGTTCTAGTGTCTTAAAGAAAGACCATTTTACTTCTTGTTATAGAGGCAGGGGAATTTTTTCATAAAAACTTTTAAGTTTCCTTCTTATAGTAGAAAATCATTGGGGAGTAATCAGTCTGTACAATACACATCCCATATACCCAAAGACTTTAAGGTCAGATTGGCCCCTTGAACAAAATTAACCCTGGCAGAGCTGTCATACCCCCCCCAAATTATCTGTGCTGTGGTGGAGTGTTTTTTTTTAATTATGGCAGAGAGATAGCCAAATATTATAGATATATGAAAAGTGATTGTCACTTACACATATCCCATTCCCTGGAGAGAAACAATTTAACAGTTCAATTTTCAGATGTAATTAAATGTATATGATCTAGTAAATGAAAAACTTGAGCTATAAAACTTGTAGAAGAAAACATAGGAGAAAAATCTTAATTACTTTGAGGTGGGCAGTGGTTTCTTAGAAGATAAGAAAAGCACGAAACCAAAAAAAAAGGTAGATAAATTATATCATCAGAATTAAAACTTAATACTCTTTAAAACTACTATTAAGAAAATGCAAAGGCAAGCCACAGACTGGAAGAAAATATTAATAGCACTTAAATTAGACAGTTTCCAGACTAAAGAACACAATTCCTTAGTAAGAAGACAACCAACCCAATTGAAGAAAAAAAAATGTGGGGGGGAGGGGAGACTTGAAAAGACACTTAAAAAGGTAAACAACGGTGAGAAAGGGGGAACCCATCACAAGATTGGATATATAGCCACCCTCCCCGAAGGGGATGAATAACAGAAATGTGGATGAAAGGAGACAATGGACAGTGTAAGATATGAAATAATAATAACAATGTTTAATTGATCAAGGATTCAAGAGGGTTGGGAAGGGAGAGGGGCAAAAGAGGAGCTTATACCAAGGGCTCAAGAAGAAAATGTTTGGAAATGATAATGGCAACATATGTACAAATATGTTTGATACAGTTGATGTCTGGAATGTTATAAGAGCTGTAGGAGCCCCCAATAAATGATTTTCAAAAGAATGACTAAAAACACAATAAAAGATTTTCAGTAATTTATTCCTAGTCATAAAGGAAATGCAAATTAAAATCACAACTTCTCCCAGGCTTCTTAACCACTTGACTTTTTGACCCAAACTCATTCTTTGTTGAGGGAGTGTGTTAGCATAGTGGGGTATAGGTTGGACTACTAACCATAAGGTTAGCAGTTCAAAACCACCAGCAACTCTGCAGGAGAAAGATGAGGCTTTCTACTCTTGTAATGGTTTATAATTTTGGAAACCCAAATGGGGAAGTTCTCCCTGCTCTACAGGTCACTACGAGTTGGAATAGCCTTGATGTCAGTGAGTTTGGTTTTTTAGTGTTTTGTTGTGGAGGACTGTCCCATGCTTTGTGGTATGCTTAGCAGCATCCCCGCCGCCACCAACAATTGTGTCAACCCCAAAAATGTATCCAGACTGTGCCAGATAACCTCTGGGGATGGTGTAGGGAGAGTTGCATCCAGTGGATGCACTTCACTGCACCTCTTAGAAAAAAGACTGACTGTGCCAAATGTTGATGAGGGTGTGAGCCACTCAGAACTCTCTTACAATGCTGCTGAGGGTGTAGAATGGTAAAGCCGCTTGGGGAAAACAAGTCTGCAGTGACTTGAACCTCTATGTCTTACATGATCAGCCATTAGACTCCTACATCTTTACTTAAGAGAAACGAAAGTATATGTTCATACAGAGCTGGTCAGAATCCTAGCCAGATGCTCACACAAAACTATTCCAGACTCCTTAGGGATAGGTGAGAATTTTACTAATTAAATGAAAATCTTAATCTTTTTTTTCTTGACTTTTTTTGGGGGTGGGGGTGGGGGTATTTTTCTGGAATCACTTTGCATTTTCCTGAATTGAAGTTCCTTCAGTTGTGGTAGAATTTTAGTTTTTAATATATGATAGTTTTTTAAATGCATACAATTCAAGAATGATAGTTTTCTCTCAGCACTTTGAAGACATACCACTGTCTTCTGGCTTCCATTGCTAACAACTAGGCTGTTGGTTTCATTTCTCTTTGGTAGATAACCTAACTTTTTTATGACAGCTTGTTAAGTCTTTCCTTCTCCTTGGGATATTTTTTCGTTTTATTGTTTAACAATGCATGTCTCTTCTTTCATTTACTCTCCATGGGATTCATTGTGCTTCCTGGAAAAGAAGAAAATTTAATCAGTCTGGAAAATTCTCAGCATGTCTTTTTAATACTGCTTTTCTACTGTCCATTCACACACACACACACACACACACACACACACACACACACACACCCGTGTCTGTGTCCAATTGTCCGTCTTTTTGCTCTTGGTGGTATTGATTCCACGGTCTTATACCAAATCGTAAAACGATCAACGAGGTCAACTTTGTTCTTCACAATCACCTTCACTTGCTACGCATTTGCTTTCAAACCACTGAAAAGATTAACAATCACCCACCCATCCCACTATCTCTTTAATGGTCCTGCCTACTCTCTTCTAAGTCATCATCACCTTAGGACACCAGAGAAACAAGCTGTTGTGTATCATACTGTACTATTTAAGAGCATATTGTCTTTTAGAGATACTGGACAAGGGTTTCTGTGATACACTAAAATGTATGGAAATCTGCTTTGGTATATAAACTTAGTGGCGTGTGTGTGTGTGTGTGTGTGTGTGTGTGTGCGCGCGGCACACTCATGCATGCATGTTCTTTATTCTGTCTGTAAGATTATAAAAAAATTATTTGGGTATAATGATGTATTATTAAATGAATAGACAACATATATTTTAGCCAAATGATTTTCAAATGTGTTTGAACACATTTCAAGACATGCACGTGTGTGCCTGTGAGTGTGCCTATGTATTCGTTTCCATGCATGCGCGGGCACATGTGCACATACTCGCATGTGTACATAATCATTGGGTTTACTTCTAAATCATTTTATTATTTGAATAGGCAAAACTATTTCACTAGTAAGAAAAAGCTCTAACATTTTTTATTGTTTTAAATCTAATGAGGCAACTATTGGGTGGTGATTTAAAGCTTCATTTTTGTCTTCATCTCACCATTTTACATAAAAATGTTATATTTTCTTTAAGCTAAGGGTAATTTTAGTTTATACATTTATTTTCGGTAGGTTTGAACTTACTATTTTCTCTTTAATGAAATGCCTATAATATAACTAAGATGTATTTTAAGTACCCATCTATTATATCCTGATATGGATATGTTGGTCTTATGTATTCAATATTCAAGGAGTCCTGGTAGAATAGGGGTTAGGCATTAGGCTTCTAACCAGAAGATCGGCAGTTCAAACCCACCAGCCCTCCTTGGGAGACAGATGCCACTTTTTCTGCTCCTGTAAAGATTTCCTGCTTTAGAAACCCCAAGAAACAGTTCTACACCTGCCCTATAGGGTAGTTATGAGTCAGAATTAGCTCAATGGCGGTGAGTTTTTTAGTTCAATTCAATATTCTTTCAACCAATATTAATCAAGCAACTAAAGGAGCCCAGGTGGCAGTATGGGTTGGATGCTGGGCTACTAACTGCAAGATCAGCCATTCAAACCCACCAGCCTTCTCCTCAGGAGAAGCGTAAAGCTGTCTGCTCCCTCCCTTAAAGACTTAAACCTTGGAAACTCTATGTAGAATTGCTATGAGTTGGACTGGACTCAATAGCAGTGGGTTTGGTTTGGGGTTTGGGTTTCTGAGCTAGTTGAGGAGCTCAGGTGGCTAAGTGCTTGGTTGCTAACCTGAAGGTTGGCAGTTAGAACCCCCCAGCTGTTCCCCTGGAGAAAGACAAGGCAGGCTGTCTGCTCCCATAAAGTTAACAGCCTTGGAAACCCTTTGGGCCAGTTCTACTCCTACTTACAGGGAGGGGAGTTGAGTCTGAAGCTACCTGATGGCAGTGTGGTTGGTTTGTGTTCCGTGCCAGATGGTGTTTTTTCATAGTCCTTGTGGAGAACAACGTCCCTGTCTTCTTCCTTGGTCCTGCCTCTTTTTTCTTATCACTTGATGTAGTGCTTTGCCCAGCTCTGGGTGTTTGTTCCTCAAGGAGCACCTGCACTCAGGAACAAAGCCTCAGGCTAATGAAGGTAAACAGGTACAAAGGGCCAGAGGGGCAGCCCTTCACACTAAGCTGAAAATATGACTATTACTGTGTTAGGAAAATGAAAGCCCATTGAGAGAGGCCTGTAAAATCAATAACTAGGATTTGTAGTCTTAAAATTTGATTATAGAAATAAATTTTACACTTCCTGGTTTCAAATATGATAATATAACTACAATAAATAACATAATTATAATTAGTATGAACCAGGCACGATTTTAGGAGCCCTGGTGGCATAGTGGGTTATGTATTAGGCTGCTAACTGCAAGGCCAGCAGTTTGAAACCACCAGCTGCTCTGAAGGAGAGACCGGGCTTTCTATTCCATAAAGAATGGCAGTTTTAGAAACCCACAGGGGACAGTTCTGCCCTGTCCTCCAGTGTCACTGAGTCATCGTTGACTCTATGGCAGTGAGTTTTTAAAGCCACCATTTTACTTCGTTTACATATATTATTTTAACTCGGTTAGCCTTCATAATAATCTACAGAGAGATATTATGTGTTTTAGAAATGAGAAATAATGATGCAGAGAGGTTACATACCTAAGTCAAGGTCACAGAGCCAAGAAGGTGCCAGAATGAAAGTTGGAGCTCAAGTTGATCTAACACCCAAGACATGCTCTTTCTACCATAATACCATGTTTTCCAGTGATATTTTAGAGTCTGTTATCACTGTCCTCATTCCAATGGTTGTGTGCCCACCGGGAAAGAGGCCAGGGCCCAGAAACACTTCTCACCACTCCTTCCTTGTCTTCCCAGTACTGTATAGGTTCCTGTGATCTCTTCTGTATGACTGCCTGCTTACCCAAACCTCTGTGACCACCTAAGTCACCGGACCGCCTTCCCTCCCTAGGATATGTCGACGGGCCCTCCAGTGTACCTATTACAAAAATACAAAGACTCCAGAGTATCTCCTGTGATCCTTCCTCACTCATTCCAATCCTCCTCCATTTTCCTCTACTCCATTCACCCTCTGTACTTGCCCTGTGAGACTTCACAGATTGCCCCCTGACACCTGAAAACACTCCCAGTTTCCCAGTTTCACTAAGAACATATTATCACCATTTCCTTCAAAAGGCTTCTCCGATTTCATCTTCTGCACATATTTTTGTCATACTGCATGAAACCCGACTCACTGCCATCGAGTCAGTTCTGACTCATGGAGACCCTACAGGGCAGGGAAGAACTGCCCCTGTGGGTTTCTAAGAGTGTAACTCTTTATGGGACTAGAAAGCTCCATCTTTCTCCTATGGAACAGCTGGAGGTTTTGAACTGCTGACCTTGCAGTTAGTAGCCCATCACATAACCATGATGCCACCACATGAGGAACATCATTTACAGTTTACCAACCTAATACTGTTCTTCATCTTCCAAATACTACACTGTGTGAGATACTGTTTGATTTACTGTGGGCTTGCCTGTTTTATATTCACAGTTTTAAGGTACAAACTTTAAGAGTCCCTTTGGGTCTATATTGAGAGTAAATTCTGTTTCACATGCCAGGAACTAAGAAGTGGAAATAGGTTTAACTTGCTTAAGAGCTCAAGGAAAATATGTGCTTAATGTAAAATCCCTCTATTCCAAATAAATGTATTGAAACTACTTTTTTCTTAATACAACACAACTTAGCTTTTATGTAACAACTGAGGATTGAGGAGAAGGATGGAGTAAGGGTATTACTGATAAAGAAAACCTAAAGCTAGTCTCTAGACATTTCATTTTCTTTTACCCTCCTAGAGATGTGTAGAATAAAAGAAATACTGATTGAAAACATGCATACATATATTCTGACACCACCCCAACATAGTATTAACAAACCACCTATATTTTAAAATGACAGGTCTCATTATCTAATTTATAATACCGGCAACACAAGCTGCTCTACTTAAAATAATTCTTTTTTTTTTTTTTTTACTTTTAAGGGAACTAAAACCAGCAAATGGTTTAAGCAGTAAAAATAAAACAAAGTAGTTCTTGAAGATTTTTTTTCATAGAAAATAGTGGAAACTTCTTTTATAATACTTTATAAATTTGACAAGCCCAAGCAGAATGACGGAAACTGTTAACTGTTGATTCACAGTGTTTTCATATCTTTATTGCAGGATAACGTTCTTTGTCAGCTTGCGCCAATGGTGAGGTTTGCAATAAACATTCCAGGGAGGCTATCTGTAATTCTTTGAAAATCCCTTCTTAAACTTCAAAAAACCTCTCAAAGAATGATACAGAAATGAACAATAGAAATGATGCATAGATGAGCACCGTGTAATTTGTTACGTCTGTTCACCTGCCTTGAAAATTGTTACTGTATGTGGTTTAGCATCACTCATCTTTTGTCTTTTTGGATCTAGATTATAACATTCCATTGCAGGGTATTTCTCCCCTATGCATTTCAGAAATTGAGTAAGAGGAAATGTAAGAAGATTCTTCCAGATGTTTCTACCTAACCTTCCTCCCACACAGAAAACTTCTCAGGGAATTCTGTTTCTTTGTTTTTTAACATCAGGTATTTTTAAAGTAATGTTAATGCATCTAATATCAAGCATAATAAAGATGAAAGCAGAGTTATCACATTATTAAAATTTGATATGCTTTTTTAAAGTTTAGTGAAGGTATTTTTATCTTTATGTTACTTTTACCCCATGACAGTATATCCTATTCAATAACTTGTTATGTTCTTCTCTGACACTATATAATTATATTTAAAAAAAGAAAAGTTGAAGGTCGGCCCTCAATGGTATCTGGAGTGGTTGAGCACTTACCTGTTTGTCTGCTTTGTGATTGGCTGGAAGCCGTTGCTAAGCTTGTTTGTTTTTTTTTGTTCTCAGGGAAAATTGAAAGTTGAGTGTGACCTATTTGAACTTCAGCCTGCTCCTTCCTTTTGTCTCTGCTTTGCTCTTCTCCTGATCCTCCATATTTTTTTTCTTTTCTTTCTGGTATCTTTTAAAATTTAGATTAAAAAAATTCTCCCATGTGGAAATTTAAGGTCCAAGATTTTAATTTTACATTTGCAAAACACAAGTCAAAAGGGTTGTGGTTCAGTTTTTAAATCTGGTTGAATAATTGAGAGT